CCCCCCCCCCCGCGCTCAAACAGGTTCCAGTACAAGTACTTGGTGGTGTACCTGACCGTCATGCTCGCGGACTGGCTTCAGGGAACCAACATGTACACGCTCTACCAGTCGTACGGAGTGGACGTGGGCACTCTGTTCCTGACCGGCTTCAGCTCGGCGGCGGTCTTCGGAACGTTTCTCGGACTGTTCGTGGACCGGTTTGGCCGCCGCAATGGGTGCATCGTCTTCTGCCTGCTGGAGGTGGGGTTCGTGTTGGGGGGGGTGCGGGGCGCGAGAAGCATCGGTAGGGTGTTCACGTGTCGTTACATTGCGAACTAACCTCAACTTTCCCTGCCTTTTTCTTTTTTCGACTACGCGACGCCGAAGTGCTGGCCGGTGTACGTGGTCTGCCGCGAGTCCCATTCTCGAACCAGACATGCTACTGGGTTTCGGTTGATATTCCACCGTGTGTGGCTTCGCTACATCTAGCGTTACTGGTACAAACAACGTCCACGCTGCTTTTGGCCCTCTCTTCTTCCTCGTCACTCCCCCGTGATCCTTTCACGCCCACCCTCCGTGTTACCTTCGCAGCATTTTTTTAGCAGAAACACAGTAGTAGCAACAAGCGTACGAGTGTTTCAGTAAGCGACTTCTGTGTGTGCGGTGTAAGCGGTGTGCTACATATCGAGAAGGAATGCGTAGCGCCGATGGTCGATTGTCCCACGGCAATGGACGATGTATACCCATGCCTCACTCCCCCCTGCATCACCGCTCTTCGGCGCAGCTGGTGATAAACACCCTGGAGCATATTCCGGACATGCGGCTGCTGCTCTTGGGCCGAGTCCTGGGGGGCATTTCGACGTCGCTGCTGTTTTCGGCGTTCGAGAGCTGGATGGTCAGCCAGCACCGCAAGCAGGGTAAGAGAGAGAGAGAGCAACAGGTCTGGCACCTGCTCCCCCACGGACAGTCACACTCTGCGGCACGCGTTTGGGTGGGGCGGATAGAGGTGCAGCAGGGTCGTCCAAGTCATTAACAGGAAGCAGAAGACAGTCGGGGGTCCTGAAAAGAGCACAACCATGAACGGTGCACTGTTTTGGGCTGGAAACAGCGTGGGAAGGACGGTGGCACCTTTCCAAGATAGCTGATACTGGTTGGGCCACGAAGCCTGTTGTTTTGTCAATGCGTCGCCCTTGCGTACTGCTGCCGATCTGTAGCCCGGAGAGAACGCTCTCTGTGCAACTGCTTTGGCCGGAAGACCAAGAAAACGCAGGGAGCGTGAGGTAGGGAAGCGGCTGGCGTCGCGGGCAGCTGGAAGCTGTAGGCAGCTCTTGACCTGGGGGAGGAAAAGCGGTGTCGTTTTCATGTCAATTCTCGTGATATCTCCCCGTCCGATTCCCTTCCCCCCCCCCCCCCCCCCCCCAATCAACA